CATTCTTTTTTGCGGCCTCCAGGGAGGCATATTCGGAGACAACGCCGGCAGGCTCACAAGACTGGGTGCCTGTATTTCAGCTTTGAAGCTTCCTTGGGTCGTCTTGGTAGATTGAAACCTTTCCGAATGCGACTTAGGGCGGTCTCGGTTTGGGAACACGTTTCTGAAGTCGTCATGCGCACCCCCGTTGAGAACAATTGCGTTCCTGACACTGGTAGTTCACACATCAATTGTGCAGTAGTTAGACAGCAGGCTCGGTGCTTCCTCGGAGAAATCAAGGCACTCATTGCGGTTTCGGTCTCGATCTCGCACGCTCTGGGCAAGACATGTTGACGCGTTTCCTCCAGCTGCCTCCCCTCCCCCCTCAGTCTCGCTGCCCTCGCACCCAACTCACCCCAGGCAGCAAATCAAATAGGCAAAAGGCCGAGGGGGCGGAGAAGCGCTCCAAGGCCCAGGCTGCCTTTCGAGATGCGCGCGAAAAATGGTTCGGCGACTTGCTGAGAGGTGCTCCAGTCAAGGATAGCGAGGCTGGCGGCAGTAATGGCGAGACTTCTTCTTCCCAGGTAGACATCGGTTATCTTTTTAACAAGCAAGAGTGGACCCGTGGGAGGACGGCGCCGATCGTTCGTAAGCCGCCCACGGACCCCCCCATAAACAGGGATGGGACCAGTCCGACGGTGGCCCTCCTCCAGTCTCCTGCAAACCTTGATGGATCCAAGCTTAATAGTTCCACTCCCTCTGACACTCATGACCTCCATTTGTCGTTATCAATAAGCTCAAATTGGTTGCGTGCCCCAAGTTTCTGGAAGCGTTTGGCCAGCCATGCATAAGTCTCTTGCATATCAAGCCGGGGGGGGGACCCATATCGGAGATGAATGGGTCATTCGCGAATTGGGTTCAAACGGCGCAAATGACGATTCGGGGTCATCACATCGAGGGCTCCCAAGGGGGATCAATAGGATCCAAAGGCGCTCCATCCAGGGCTCAGAACCCAAAGTTGGTCGGGCAGATAATACATCGAGCATTATACGTGTTCGAGAGTTGCATTTGGCCGATCAGGTCAGCACGCGGTGTGCACGGACCCATGTTGATCAGCGTTTGGCACGGCACAAGCGGCGCCAGCACGAAGGCCAACAAGTCGAGCCGTTGATCCAGGCGGGCGGGCACCTCACGGACGATACCCCCCAGAACACTTACACGGTTTTGGTTTAAAGGTGCGAAGCGGTTCCCAAGGAAGCTCGGCAACACTATCTTCGCGACTTCGGGACCCTGGGGCAAACCGTGTTAGGCGATCTCGTGAAGAAGGCTGACAAGGTTATTGACCGGGCGCAGCGTCGTCCCATGCAGAAATCTTTTACGCCTGTTCATGAGTGAGTAATGGATTCCAGCTAGCAAGGCCAAGTCTTTCGCAGTTTAAAGCCTCGACCGCCACTGGTGCGGGAGATCCCTGTGGAAGGCAAAATAATAATTCTACCAAAAGAACCAAATTATTGATCCCAAGACATTCAAGTAGCCAGAGTTGTGGACCAAGCAAACCACAAGGCGAGCAACTGTGGACAAGTTGTTGGCACACATTCGTTCGGAGGCCGAAGTCTCCGAGCTTCCTCCTCCCACAGTCGCCGAGATTTAGGAAGCTCTTAGGACGATGGGGCACTCAGCAAGAAGGCGTCGACCAACTCACTCCAATTGATGTTGAAAGGCTTCCAAATGCGGCCCTTCAGCCGTTCTGTAACATGTTCAGGCTTGTGAACGGGATCTCCCGTGGCCCTGGCAGGTTTTGCTGGTCATTGGGGAGCTCCTAGAATGCGGGGGGGGGGGGGGTCGTGCGCGTTGGTTCGATGGCAAAGTTGTGTCGGATATGGTCCTTAGCTCGGCCAACATTACGAAACAGGTGACGATGGGCACCAATCCCGATTGGGATGCTGCTGTTGTATGCAATGATGTTTGACGCAAGTATTTGTGCGCCAATGTTGCAGGCAGAGACGTACAACAACATTAGCTTCACAAACAGTCATGTAGCGCTAAATAATCATAGCTTCGATGCTAGCGTTCAATGGGACAAATACCACCAGCCCTCTGGGCGTAGGTGGTTTAAGGTGGTTGCTCTTCCAACCCCATTCCTCCCCTTCGGCGAAGGGTTTATCACTGTTCCCTATTCATATACACCCCCTCCCCCAAGCGACCGGGAGCCAACCAGGAACAATGAGGACACCGTGCTCACCCCCCACACACACATCATCCCTGTCAAAAAAATACAAAACGCACTCTGCCTCCACATTCGGAGCATGCGCAACCAACCCGATGCGGCCCCCCCCCACCATCCCTGTCCAAAAATAATACAAAGTACATCTTGCGGCAAATTCTTGAATCATGTTCGTGAGGCCCGCGAGCACTTTGTATGTGTTTTAATAGGGACGGCTGGGGTGTCAGCATATTGTTTGCTGCGCGAAGGGCCACCATCCCTATCAAAAACAATCCAAGATGCACCTCGCGGATAAATCTGGATCAGGCGCCGCCCCCCCCTCGATCACTGCGAAGTGGGTTTTGACAGGGACGGCGGGGTCCTGGTGGCGTATGGCCTACTGCGCGCAGGCCCACCAGACACAATGCTGGGCATTGGTTTTCGACAACAATGGTGGGGACAGACATATTTCCCGATGTGTGTTATCACGTGCGCAGGCGCACCTGACACACTCTGCGCGCGCCCAGAACGTGGCGCACCTGGCGCGGCTGGAGTGCTCACAGAGCGCACGTTGGGCACGTGGCGCATCTGGTGCACCAGACGTGCCTGACACGCTCGGGCCCCAGCGTCGAACACGGTTCTGATTCCCAGTAGCTGCCCATCCAAAGACGAGCGCTGAGCATGCTGAGGCTCGGGTGTTACTTACGTGTTGGAAGGACGGGCGGGAGTGAGCTGGACGGCTTGCTATCGAGGAGGGTGCCTTGACCCCTCCCCCTACCCCCTCCCCTGGACCTGGACGGGGCGCCCCGCGAGGCGTTGGAGCATCTAGGATGGCCCAAGATGGCTCCAAAAGGGCCTCAGAGAGTACAAGACGACCTCCAAGAGGGCTCCAGATGGCGCAAGATCGCTCAAGATGGCTTCCAAGATGCTCCAAGAGGCCCCAAGACCACCTCAAGACAGCTCAAAGTGGCCAAAGAGCTCCCCAAGGAGGCCCCCAAGACACCACCATCCATCAGCAACTTGCGGAAATCATTGTGGTTGGCTGCCTCGCCTGTTCGCGTCTGATGGCCATCCGAGGCCTCAAGATGGCCCCCAAGATGGCCCAAGACAGCCCCAAGACGGCCCCAAGAGCGCCCAAGAGCGCTCCAAGAGCGTACCAAGAGCGCCCCGAGAGGCGATGTTAGGTAATCTAGATCCCAGATTGCTGCATCGATGGATTCCAAGATGGCTCCAAGAGCGCCCCTAAAGCTCCCAAGAGCGCCCCACGAGGGCCCCAAGAAGCCCAGACAGCTCCAAGAGGCGCCCAAACGGGCATCCAAGAGGCTCACAATAAAACCCCAAGAGGCATCAAGATGATCCCCGAGACACCTAAGACGCTCAAAGACGGCCCTGGGCCCGCCAAGATGCCCCAGACGCCTCAGGAGGCCTCCAAACAAATGTCACGCGACATCCAAGGAGACTCCGAGTGGCACTAACGAGACGTACATGTTGCTCTGTGTTCGCCCTGCTACTCCTCCTCTTCCTCCTCCCCACCCTCATCCAGCGCCTCCTCCTCCTCCTCCTCCTCCTCCTCCTCCTCACCATCATCATCAGCAGCATCATCATCAGCAGCCGCACCATAATCAGCATCGTCAGAATCATCAGAATCATACGAATCGCCCGCATAATCATCATCGACAACATCAACATCAGCAGCATCATCATAGACATCCGCATCAGCATTTGCATCATCAGCATCATCATCAATATCGTCATCCGCACCATCAGCGGATTCATCATCATTATCAACATCGTCAACATCGTCAGCATCACCATCCTCATCCTCTTCCTTCCTCATCCGGCTCCTCCTCCGCCTCCTTCTCCTCCTCATTCTCTTCATTATCCGCGTACTTCTCCTCATCCCTCCTGCCTCCTCCTCCTCCTCCGCCGCCTCCTCCTCTTCCTTCCCCCCTCCTCATCATTTTCCCTTTTCCGCGATATCCTCCCCCTTCCTCATCCTCGCCCTCTTCCTCCTCCTTCTCCGTCTCGTCCGTTTTCGTGGCCTCATCCTCCTCCTCCTCCTCCTCCTCCTCCTCCTCTTCCTCCTCCTCGTCCTTTTCCACGTTCTCGTTCTCCTTCCTCATCCTCGCCCTCTTCCTCCGCCTTCTCAGCCGCCTCCTTCTTCATATTATCCTCCTCCTCCTCCTCCTCCCCTCCTCCTCCTCCTCCTCCTCCTCCTCCCCCTCCTCCTCGTCCTCATCCGCAAGTTCAGTATCCGTCTCCTCCTCCGCCTCCTCCTCCTCCTCCTCCTCCTCCTCCTCCTCCTCCTCCTCCTCCTCCTCCTCCTCCTCCTCCCCCCCCCCCCTCCTCTTACGTATCCTTCCCCTTCTCCTCCTTCTCCTCCTCCCCATCAGCATCATCATCATCATCATCATCACCACCATCATCATCAGCATCATCATCATCATCATCATCATCATCATCATCATCATCATCAGCATCAGCATCATCATCATCATCAGCATCATCATCATCAGCAGCATCATCCTCATCTCTGGGACGATAACGGTTGTCTCCCAATTTGCTCCTACGCTTCCATGATCGTCCCAACTGGTCGTTTCCTCAGAGTGGCGCTGGCGCGGGGCCGTGTCGAGTGGCTCGGTCGCGTCCTGGCGCCAGCAGCGCTTCGAGTTCATTCCCCATTGGAGGCGCGGTTACTCGGAGGCTGCGTGGCATCTTCCTCCTCTTCCTCCTCCTCCTCCTCCCCCTCCTCACCCTGGACTAGCCAATCCAATCCGCAAACAGACGCCGCCAGCGGCAAGCGGGGTGCAAGGGGCGCCTCTGCGCCCGTAGCGTGAAGTTGCCCGCCACCTGCGGTCCCGCGCGCCTGCTCGTCCCCTGCCCTCCCAGTAGTCCTCATCGTCCCCCTTCGCTCCTCCTCGTCCTCCTCGTCCTCATCGTCCTCATCGCCCTATCCTCCTCATCGTCTTCATCCCCCCTCCTCCACCTCCATCGCTTCTCCTCATTGAGAGCTCCTCCTCGTCTGGCCACCAGACGAGTCGGTAGAGCGGGCCAGGCGTTTCGCCTGAAACGTCCTCGTCGCATGTTGCTCCAGAGCTCTAGGAATTCCCGACAGCCAAACCGATGGAGAGGGGAGGAGTCGTTTTCAAAATGTGGCTCTCGCCATAGCGCCGCGAACATTGGCCTGGAAAGATGTCAACAGCTAATTGGAGGGAAGGGGGCGTTTTCAAAGTATGGCCCTCGCGTCAGCAACGGGCACATGTGTCTGAAATGCTGTCAACGGTTATGACGATGGAGGGAGCCGTCTTCAACATAAACTGTGATAGCGTGAGGCTCCCTTCGCCCGCACGACAACAGATCTCGACATCTAAAAGCGTGCAGCAGTTTCACGGATCGTGGGCGGCTCACGTTCGGCCTCTCGTCTGAGACTTCTCAGGCTTCACAACCAAGTCTAAGATCGGAAGACAGTTGCATGAATTCTGACAATTCTTGTTCAAAGCGGGGCTCTCGCTGTACACTTCCTTCGACTGTATGATCATCCGCCGTCGCCGTCCTGATACCTAGAAGAATGGACGGCAGCTCCTCTTCAAAACGGGGACCCCTGCACATTGCTGAGACCATGGAGCGTTCCCGTTTTTTCCAAGGGGCGCTTCCCGCAGTGAAAAGACACCCTCAGATGGGCCTTATGAAGAGGGATTTGGGACGGGTGGGCGTATTGCAGCATCGTTGACGCATCCTGGGTTTACACGGGTTCTCCTCCTCCTCCTCCTTCTCCTCCTCCTCCTCCTCCTCCATTCCCCCTCCTCCTCCTCCTCCTCCTCCTCTTCCTCCTCCTCCCTCTTCCTCCTCCTCCTCCATCCCCCCTCCTCCTCCTCAACGAGCCAAAGCAAGGCCCCAAGAGGCCCCCAAGACGGGCCAAGAGGGCCCCGCGTGATCGGGACATCGTTCCCAAACGCCCCAGATGTGGCCTCCAGCAGCCCCGAAAAGCACACTCCCGCTCCACAGCTAGGACCCCCTGGATAATCACGAGGTCGGGAATCGGGGTCATGGCTGGGGGTGGGGGTGGGTTGTGCTGTCCTCAATTCAGCTTACCGAAGAAGAAGCGAAAGGGGAATATACAGGTGATACGGCGGTGGCCGTCCCTCTCTGTGTCACTGTATGCCCCCCACGCATCCCTGATCAAGGCAACTCGCCCAGAAACCGAGCGCCGGGCTAGTGGGGACACGCGAAGCGTCAAGACTCCCGCTCCCGCTCTCCCTGCCCCTCGCCCGCCCTTCACCCCATCCTCCCTCAGATCGGCCATGACGGTGACGGCACGCCAGGTCCTGGAGACCGCGGGATGAGCAGGCTCAGTCCAGGCAGGCCTTCGCGCCTGCCAGGCGCAGCCGGAAGGCCGACAGCTTGGAGGCCAACCAGGGCGGCGGCCCCTGCCTGTGGGGCGCCTCCGGCCCGCACTCGCCAGAGCAGCGCGCCCCGCGCAGGTCGCCCGCGACCGCGCCGATCTCGGTCACGGGGCCAACGTCGCCCGAGCCGAGCACCCGCCGGTAGGACAGGTTGAACGTCTCGCCCCTGGGGGCCGCAGAAGGCCCCCCACTTTGGGGCGTCGCCACGCCATGCTGTGTCATGCTCCGCGCCGCTCTTCGACACAGCGCTATGCCATGCAATGCGATGCCACGCGACGACCTCCGACTGTGCGAATAGCGAGGGGCCCTGCGCCATGGCAAGGGCTGCGAGGGAGGGGTATAGGACGTCAGACATGACGCGAGCGCACCTGCCTTGACGTCTCGCCCCGCTGCTCCAGGAGCAGGGTGGCGGCGAAGCGGAGGAGCAGACGGAGGCAGGGCGCCGGAGCAGAGACCAGGGAGGAGGGGGGAGGGGGAGGAGACGGAGGAGGAGGAGGCGGAGGAGGAGGAGGAGGAGGCGGAGTAGGAGTAGGAGTAGGAGTAGGAGTAGGAGTAGGAGTAGGAGTAGGAGTAGGAGTAGGAGTAGGAGGAGGAGGAGGAGGAGGAGGAGGAGGAAGAGGCGGAGGCGGAGGCGGAGGCGGAGGCGGAGGCGGAGGCCAGGAGGCCGGGAGCACCGAGCACCGGTCCCCGCCCGGCCGAGGCCCGGGGCCCGGGGCCCCGGGGGCCCGGGGCCCGGGCCTCGGCCAGGCCAGGGGGCCGGAGCCTGGAGAGCGGGCGGCGCCCCCCGAGGGCCAGGCGAGGAGAGCGGCCACGCGGAGGGGACCGGGGAGGGGGCTCCTCCGCAGGGCCCCGCCCCTCCGCCGGGGCTCCCAGAAGCAGGGCTCTGGACCGCGGCGCCGTTTTTCGTTTGGGTTCCGCTTGTGTTCCGTCTTGCTCTGCCGGTCTCCCTGCCCCTGCCAAAGCGAAAAACCAAACACAGCCGAAGTCCCGCAGATCAGCGTTTACGCAGGTCCAGCCCTGCCCAGACGGGAGGGCCTCGTGGCACGCCGCATTCCTGCCTCGGCCTGGTCCCTTCACCCTTCCGTGCGCCGCCGACCTCTGCGCGGCCTCGGACAGCATCCGCCGCAGCTCGAAGACGGGGACCTCGAACGGCAGGAACCGCCCGCCGGGGACGACACCGGGCCCGAGCACCCGCGCGAGGTACGGCATGAACTGCCTGCCACTGTGCCCAGCACGCCGGAGGTGCTGCAGCACCGCGGGCGGGAACAGGCTCGTCACCTCCACGGCCCCATCGCCCGGCGGACGAAAACCACACGAAGTGATGCTCTCCACCGCAGGGGGGGGGGCCTGCTCCAGGGCAGATGGACTCCTCATGCGCACGTCCGTGGTTCGCCTCTGGGGGTATCAGAAGGTCCCAGCAGCCCTGGGACAGGCGTCCCGCACGGCGGAAGGCTCGATTACATGCGGAATTTCCTCAGCCGAATAGTGGCCAAGCACATGCTCAGAGGTAGCGGTGGTCACCCGTACTACGCCGCCGTCGTAGGGCGGTACGCCCCAGGCCTGCACCAGGCCCGTCGGCAATACCATGTGGTTGCCATATGTCGGGGCAGCTTAAGCTACAGGGGTAGTGAGACTCGGCGTCCGCATCTCGCCATCCTCTCCCCTCCCCCTATCCCCTTCTCCGTTCCTCCCTCCTCCTCCTCCTCCTCCTCTTCCTCCTCCTCCACCACCTGCTCATGTTCCTCCTCCACCTCCTCCTCATGCTCCTCCTCTTCATCATCATCATCATCATCATCATCATCATCATCATCATCATCATCATCATCATCATCATCATCAGCATTATCATCATCATCATCGGCATCATCATCAGCAAAGTCATCATCATCATCATTATCATCATCAGCATCATCATTAGCATCACCATCATCATCATCATCATCATCATCATCATCATCATCATCATCATCAGGATCATCATCATCATCATCATCAGCACCACCACCACCACCCTCATCATCATCAGCAGCAGCAACAGCCTCATCATCATCATCAGTATCATCAGCAGCAGCATCGTCGTCCTCTGCATCGTCAGCAGCATTATCGACAGCATCATTCCCATCATCATCATCAGCAGCATCGTCAGCATCATCATCATCATCATCACCATCATCATCAGCATCATCATCCCCTCCTGACTCCTATTCCCTCTCAGGAGAGAGCCCTTTATCAATAACTCCCCCTGTCGCAACCCCAGACGTGTCGATGCTTTCTTCGCCGTTTACGATCCTGCAGCTTGAAATGTGTAAAAGCTTGACGTTTTAAAAATGTGGTTCTCGCCTTAGCACCACGCGCATTCGACTTCATGTGCAACAGGCTCAAAGAGGGAGCACAGGTCCTTTTCAAAACGTGAAACTCGCCTTAGCGCCGCGCACGTTCGTCTCAAAAGTTTGCAGCAGATTCAAGGATGGAGGGCGATTCCTCTTCTAAGCGGGGTTCACGCCGTAGCGCCGCACATGCTCGTCTGCAAAGTTTGCAACAGCTCGGATGAAGGAGCCCAGGTCGTCTTCAAATGCGGCTCTCACCGTAGCGTCGCGTAAGTTTGTCAACAGTTAGCGGGATGGAGGCAGGCTCTTTTTTCAAATGGGGCTCTCGCATGAGACTTAATTAACTTGAAGGGCCCAAAACTTCAACACATGTAGCACTGCAACAATGGAGGGCGGCTGCTTTTCAAAGTGCTTGAGACTTCCCCAGAGTTCAAGACCACAGGTGCAATATGCAACAGTTACACGGGTGGGGTGCGGCCCTTTTCGAACAGGAGATATCACTGGACATCTCGTTGAAGTGTATGATTAAAGTGTTTCGCATTCCTGTTTCGCGCTCCAGAAGGATCCAAGGCAATTGCCTTTCAAAACGGGACCCTCGCCCAAATGGCAGGCCCATAAGGCGCTGGTCTGTCCAAGTCAGGACGCGTCAAGGGGGACTTGGGACAGGAGGGTGTACTTCAGCATCGCTGATGTATCTTGGGCTTGCACAGGTAAGATTTCTACTCCCTGCAGGGGGCTGTCCGGGGGCCTCCAAAAGGCCTCAGAGGCCTCTGGAGGCGCAAAGAAGCCCACAGAAGCTCCGGAGGCCGAAAGAGGGCCAAACGAACAAACACCTTAATCATCGAACCTCGGCGGCCCCCATCCACCCTCCATGCAGGAAGAGGCCCCGCCAAACCCCCCTCCTCCCCCTCCCCTTTCCCCCTCCTCTCCCCCACGGGTCCAAATCCCCAGCCTCCCCCTCCTCGATCCTCGTCTTCCTCCGGCCCCTTTCCTTATCAATACCTATACGACCACCCTTCGGGTTATATGGAGGTTCGGGGGGGGAGGGAAAACCAACGTCTCATTCAATCGATCTCACATCGATCAAACTCTCGATATCACAACGGATCTCACGACCGATCTCAAAATCGATCTCAAAATCGATCACACAACAGATCCCACTATAGATCTCACAATCGTTCTCACTATCGATTTGAGAATCGACCTCGCGAGCGATCTCACTATCGACCTCACAATAGATCTATATCACGATCGACCTCACAATAGATCTCACCAACACTCTGACAATCGAACTCACAGTCGATCTCGCATTCGGACTCATTACCGATATCACAACAATTCTCACGATCGGTCTCACTATCGATCTGATCTCACCATCGATCTCACCATCGATTTTACATCAAATATCACAATCGATCTCACAATCGCTCTCGGCATCGATCCCACCGTCGATTCTCCTTTCTATAAAGAGAATAGACTCTACCCCCCCCCGGACTTAACGCTTCCCCCTGGGATAGTATAACTTCATATATATATATATATATATATATATATATATATTCTGCACACTCGTCCATCCGAATTATGAAATCATACCATCCCAGGCAGGCCGGTTTCCCACCCTGAGGTTCCCTTGTAAAAAAACACTATGCGGTGACATGTTTGCTCTTACATAGCACTTGTTCACGAATCCCTTGTAAAGAAAGGACGAAGTGCACACGCGCGCGTCGTCGCGCGCGCATGCCGAAATCCTTTTAAAAACCTGAGGTTCCGGAGAGATTTCATAATTGAATGTCAAAAAAACATACAAAAACACATGGTTTCGCAACACGGATTTGCTAAACAAATTTACGCGCGAGCTCTTGCGAAATCTTAAGAAAGCCATAGGTGTTTCAAGAATCTCACAAAATGTTACCAAACGGGTTTCGCGCGCGCGCGTGTCGAAATCTGTCGAACGCCCTTGCGCGTGTGCCGTCGCGAGAATTCTCTGCAAAAAAATGGGACGAAGTGCAGACGCGCGCGTCGTCGCGGGCGTATGCCGAAATCCTTCAAAAACCTTCGGTTTCGTAAAGATTTCAAAATCGTGCGTCCAAAAAACTAACAAAAACACAAGGTTTCGCAATACGGGTTTTCAACAAAAGCGTGCGCGCGCGCTCTTGCGTCGTCGTCGTCGTCGTCGTCGTCCTCCCTCCTCCCTCGTCGTCGTCGTCGTCGCCGTCGTCGTCTTCTGTCCTTCCTCGTCGTCGTCGTCGTCTTGGCGTCGTCGTCGCTTCCGTCGTCGTTGTCGCCGTGGTCGTCCTTCCTCCCTCGTCGTCTTCGTCGGCGTCTCGTCGTTGTCCCTCCTATTTCGTCGCGTCGTCGTCGTCGTCGTTGTCGTGGTCTTCACTCCTCCCTCGTCGTTATCCTCCTCCCTCGTCGTCGTCGTCCGTCGTCGGCGTCTCGTCGTCGTCCCTCCTATTTCGTCGCCGTCGTCGTCGTCTTCGTCGTCGTTGTCGTCGTCGTCGTCTTCCCTCCTCCCTCGTCGTTGTCGTCGTCGGCGTCGCCGTCCTTCCTCCTTCTTCGTCGTTGGCGTCGTCGCCGTCTTCCCTCCTCCATCGTCGTTGTCGTCGTTGTCGCCGTCGTCGTTTTTTCTCCTCCCTCGTCGTCGTCTCCGTTGGCGACGTCGTCGTCGTCTTCGTCGTCGTCGTCGGCGTCGTTGTCGTCGTCGTCGTCGGTGTCGTCGTCGTCGTTGTCGTCGTCGAAAACATTGGAGACGTCGTCGGTGTCGTCGTAGTCGGTGTCGGCGGCGCCGTCGTCGTCGATGTCGCTGTCGTCGTCGGCGTCGGTGTCGTGGCCAAGTGCCATGTGGTACCTACCGTCACGGTCTTGTCTGAAGAGGTCTTGCGACCAAGTTGCTGGTGGGAGGGTGGGATGTTTCCAAGAACATTGGAGAGGGCCGCTTCAATACGGTCAAGGTTAATCCCACCATATAACTCACGAGCGATGCCACAAAACCGATATCACAACATATCTCACAATCGATCACGAAACAAATCCCACGACCGATTCCGCAACAGGTCCCACTATCTATCCCACAATCGATCTCACTATCGGTCTGGCCTCACTATCGATATCACATCAGATCTCACTAAGAATCTCACAAGCGATCTGGCTATCGATTTGACAATCGAACTCACTATCAATATTACGAGCGATCTCACTATCGACGTCGAAACAACACTCACGATTGATCTTTCAATCGATCCCACCACCCTTCTGACCATCGAACTAACCATTGGTCACACAATCGAACCCACTATCGATTGTTCAACAGTCCTCACGATCGGTCTCACCATCAATCACACAATCGATCTCACAATCGCTCTCACCACCGCTCTCACAATCGATCTCACAGTCGATCTCACGAGCGATCTCAACATGGATCTCACGATCGATCCCACTACAGATCTCAAGAGCGATCCCACCATCGATGTCACAACAGATCTCCTTATCGACGTCACAACAGATCTCACGATCAATCACGATGGACCTCACAACGGATCTTACAATCGATCCCACAACAGATCTCAGTATCGATCTCACCGACGCGCCACCGACGGGACACCCCGCGCCATCAACGGGACACCCCGCGCCACCGACCGGACACCGACGCGCCACCGACGGGACACCCCGGCCACCGCGCGCCAAGGGGGGGGGGGTGGACACCTGGCACCACAGCCCCTGGCCATGGCGGCGGCATCATTCCTGTCGCGCGCCCACGCAAATTCGCATCGCCAGCACGCACGACACGAGCACAAGCACGAAACCGAAACCGATTTCCCAGTGGGGGGCTCTCCGTTCCTCTGCGATCTCACCCCCTCGCCTCCGAACTGCTCACTGTCGCACACCGAGACGCGTCGATAGGCCGGGCCAGGCGTTTCCATGTATGACCCTGCAGTGGAATAGTTACAAGAACTTCACGGATGGAGGGCGGGCCGCTTTTAAAATGTGGCTCTCGCAATAGCGCCGCGCAAATTCGTCTCAAAAGTTCTCAAACGTTTCACCGACGGAAGGCGGGTGATTTTCAAAACGTCGCCGTCGCTTCAGCGCCGCGCATATGTGTCCTAAAAGTTTGCAACAACTTCTCGAAGAAACGTCGGGTCGTTCTCAAAATGTGGTTGTCGCCCCAGCGCCGCGCACATTGGTCTTAAAATGTTGCGAGAGCTTCACGGATGGAGGGCTGGTGGTTTTCCCAATGTCGTTATCATGTCAGCGCCGCGCACGTTCGTCTTAAAAGACGGTCAGAGCTTAAAGGAGAAACGGCGGGTCGTTTTCAAAATGTGGCTGTCGTCTTAGCGCCGCGAACATTCGTCGTAAAATGTTGCAAGAGCTTTACAAATGGAGGGCGGCTCCTTTTTCAAAATGTGGTTATCGCCGAAACGCTGCGCACATTCGCCCTAAAAATTTGCAATACCTTCACGGATGGAGGGCGGTTCCTTTTCAAAATGTGGTCCCCGCCCTGGCGCCGCACACATTCGCTTTCCGAAATTCACAGCCGGTTCAAAGATTTGTATGGCGGACGTCCGAGGCACTGCGTTCCGGAACGATTGAGGACTGCAGCTGGTGGCCCTTGCAGCTCTACTGGAAGCTCTTGCAACTCTGCCCCTGTTCCGCGTAGCTCAGATTGCGGCCGTCGTAGCTCAGCCGATGGCCCTTGTAATTCAGCCGCTGGTCCTCGTAACCCTGCTTCTGGCCCTGGTAGCTGATTCTGCAGACCTCGTAGCTCAGCTTGTGGTCCCCGTGGCTCAGCCACCGGCTCGGAGCTCTGCCCAGGGCCCTTGTAGCTCAGCTGGTTTCCCTCGCAGCTCAGCAGGTGGCCCTCGTGGCTGTGGCGGTGGCTCTCGAGGCCCTGCTCGTGGCCCTTGCAGTTCAGCTCCGTGGCGCTGGCAACTCGCATGGAGGCGAGGATCTGCTTGTGTCCCGCGTACCCCAGCCTGTGGTATTCGTAGCTCAGCTGGTGGCCCTCGTAGTTCAGCTGGTAGTCCTCATAGCCCTGTTTGTTTTTTTCTGGTGGCTTTCGCAGGTGGCCCTGGCAGCTCAACTTGTGAGTCTCGACGTCCTACTTGTGGCCCCCGTAGCTCATCATGCGGCCCATGTGGCTCAGCTGGCGGCTCTCGTAGCTTCGCCTGTGGCCCTCGTAGCTCAGTTTGTGGCTCGTGGCTCAGCTGTCGGCTCTCGAAGCACAGCCCGTGGCCAGCAAGGCTCTGCATGTTGGCCAGAAAGTCCCCCGCGTGGCCCTCGTAGCTTTACTGGTGGCCCGTGAAGGCCTGCTCTGCCCGCCGCCCTTCAAGTCCTGCTTTTGGCCCGTGCAGCTCTGCCGGAGGCCCTTGTAGCCCTGCTGCTGGGTCTCCGAGCTTTTCAGGTGGCCCTGGTGGCATTGCGCGTTGCCCTTGGGGTTCTGCCCGCGGCCATCGTAGCTCTGTCATTGCTCTGGAAGCCTAAAGCCATTGTAGCCCAGCACCCTCGCGCAGCTCCCTCTCTTTCCCGAGGTCGTCGTCAACCCACTTGCAGGGCGCCGAGCCTGGGGGGGGGCCAGCCGAAGCCAGTCCCACCCTTCGTCGCCTGGGGTGCAGACGCCCTGGAGACGGCTGTGGCTGCAAGAGCCGTAATCCAGCCGCTGTAGCCATCGTAACCTGCGTGGCCGTTGTCCTGGGGTCCGGCGTAGATCAGATGGCCATCGTAGCTATGGGTGGCGGCGTGGTCTGGTGGGCCCGTCTGCACCATCGATGGGTGTCTCTATCATCAAGTACTCGCAGTACTCGCGGCCGCAATTGCCGTTGTCGCGTTCGCGATGATACTTTCCGTTCTCTCGGTCGCACTTGTCGCGAATGCGGTCGCCACTGCCATAATGACCCTCAGAACCTGGCCGCTTGTCACGCAGCCCGTGTCCTTCGAATCTTGGCTGCTTGGTACGCAGCAAGTCGGATGTCATATCCTGCGGCGGCAGCGTAGCCAGATACGCTGTTAAAAGGCAGCAATGTGGCGATTATGCTGTCATTCGGGTGTGGTTGGAGCTCGTGTCTTTCACAGTAATGCGCTTGAGAGTTGCCGCCGCTGTCAGTATCGGCATGGCGTCTGCTGGTAGGTCTCCACAGACAGTGGTGTGAACTCGTAGCACTGGTGATTCGCGAAGCTCGGCCTGAAGATCTTGAGATTTAGCATGCAAGGTTGGGCGAACATCACACTTCATGTTCAGCCTGTAGATCTTTTAGCCGAGCCAATAGGTCTTGGTGTGTCGCTTCGAGGAAGTATGGTGCCGGCTCTGGATGGCTGGGGCTGGCCCCCGGGGCGCGCCGCGAGAAGCGCGCGGCCTAGTGCGGGAAATGAATCCCGAATACAGTGTTGGACGAAAATAGCTACAGGCCTTCCTCCTCCTCCGCCTCCTCCTCCTCAAACCTTCTCCTCCGCCTCCTCCTCCTCCTCCTCCTCCTCCTCCTCCTCCTCATCATCATCATCATCATCATCAATCATCATCATCATCAGCATCATCATCATCATCATCATCACATCATCATCATCATCATCATCATCATCATCATCATCATCATCATCATCATCAGCATCATCATCATCATCATCATCATCATCATCATCCTCTTCCTCCTCCTCTTCCTCCTCCTCATCCTCCTCCTCCTCTTCCTCCTCTTCTTCCTCCTCCTCCTCCTCCTCCTCCTCTTCCTCCTCCACCTCCCCCTCCTCCCCATGCTTTTCCTCCTCCTCGTCCTCCTCCTATTATTATTCCTCCTCCCCCTCCTTCTCCTTCTCCGCCGCCTCCTCCTCCTCGTCCTCCTCCTCCTCCTCCTCCTCCTCCTCCCTCCTCCTCCTCCTCCTCCCCCTCCTCCTCCTCCTCCCTCCTCCTCCCTCCTCCTCCTCCTCCTCCTCCTCCTCCTCCTCCTCCTCCTCCTCCTCCTCCTCCTCCCCTCCTCCTCCTCCTCCTCCTCCTCCTCCTCCTCCTCCTACTCCTCCTCCTCCTCCTCCTCCTCCTCCTCCTCCTCCCCCCTCCTCCTCCTCCTCCTCTTCCCTCCTCCCTCCTCCTCCTCCTCCCTCCTCCTCCTCTTCCTCCTCCTCCTCCTCCTCCTCCTCCTCCTCCTCCTCCTCCTCCTCCTCCTCCTCTTCCTCCTGCTCTTCCTCCTCCCCCCGCCTCCTTCCCCATCCTCCTCCTCCTCCTCCTCGTCCTCCTCCTCCTCCTCCTCCTCGATGAGCGGGCCCGAACATTACTTCCGCGGCCTCGGCTGCCCCGTTTCTGGACGCTGCGGGTCGGTCCCCACGTGGAGGTTCGCGTACATCGCCATGGCAGGGAGGCTCCCGCCCGCGCCCGACCGGCGCCAGCTTTATCCCAACTCTGCCGCGGAGACGGGGGGGCATCCACCAACGGACCTCCATTCCACAGGAGTGAGGAATGGGAGGCGGGTGGGCAGTCGGAGCGGGGGGGGGTCGATGCGAGGGAGAGGAGAGGGGGAGGAGGACAAGGAGAGGAGGAGGACAGGACACAGGACATCCGCGTAAGGGGGTCAACGCCGAAACGCCCGCAGAGGAGCTGTGGGGCACGACTTGCGAACCCCCTGCGGTTATAGTATGCCGCATACCCAGACTTCTCTCGGGGCAGGCAGGGGGCACACCCCGAAGCTCAAGGGGGCGAGCTCCGAGGTGGCCCTGTAAGAGAGGCTCGCTGATTAAGACGAGTCCCTACTGGCCAGCGCGAGGGGAACAGCTGCTGGCCTGTTCGCGTGCCCGCTCTGGGGGACGCGCTGGCGAGCAGGGTTCCCAGTCAGGGGGCTCCCTGAGCCCCTCTTTTAAGTTGTGAGCCAGAGCTCCTGCACTCCGAGACGCCCTCCCCCCCCCCCGCCCTCCACAGAAGCTCCAGCACTCCGAGATGCCCTCGCCAGTGCTCTCTGCTCTCACTGCGCCGAGACAGACGCTTCCCGCGCCAAACGCTCTCAGAAATGCACAACCTATGTCCCTCCCGCTTCCCGCGCCAAGCGCGCTCAGAAATGCACAACCTCCGCTCTTTTCGTTCTCTGCAAGGTCACACTTACTACACCAGAAAATCTGGGGACACATGCGGCACATGCAGAAGATGTTGCACTACATCTCCGCGCGGAAAAGAGGACCGACGACGAGAGACCGAGAGACGAGAGGGGGGAACGCTGGGCGAGAAGGCCTGCACTCCGAGTCGTCCTCGCTCGTGCGTGCGGCTCCCCCCTGGAGGCTGATTTAGTAAACTCCTCTGCGCCAAACACGCTCAACTGGTCCTCTGTGCTGTCCCATTCTGAAGGAGCGCAACCTTCACGGGGTAGCAGTTGTGTATTTGTCTCCCACGCTGGCAAGAACTCATATGCTTTCCCATGCCGAAAGAGCGAATTCCATTCCTGACAAAATGCGAACTGTGCCGCTAGAAGCTAATTGGTGCCGTATTCCTGCCGCAAGAAAAATGGCCAATTGTGTTCCACATAATGTGATAAATGCTCCCCAAGGTGTGTTTTTGCACTTCTTATTGAAATGAACCTCCTCCTCCTCCTCCTCGTCCACCTCTCCGCGTGATTCCATCCGTTGTCTCTCCTCTGCCTCAGAGATTGGTTCGTCCTTTCCTTCGTCGGGCAGACCTCCGAGCCTCCGGGCCTCCATCTTCCCTCCCTGTCGCCTGCAGGCGTCTGCGCCGCGGCCACGAGGCTCTCCCTGCGCGTCTGGCGCTGCATTGTTCCGACTCGGCGCCTCCCGAAGCGACTCGAGCGCAGCGGCCCCCTTCAGGGGGGAGCAGGTGGCCACGCCGGCCCAGCCTCAGACTGTTGTCCTCCGACAGAGTGGTCATGGGTTTTCGAGGTTCATCACTGACGAAGGCCAGTGGCCTCCGAAACTCCTGGCCTCCATCATCCCTCTGGCGTTCGTCGTTCAACTTATCTCGCCGACGGGCAAATGAATGCAGAGCTGGGCCAATAGGGTTCCTTTGGCGCAATTGACATGTGATATCCAGTGTCAACCCTTCCCAACAAAAACGTTCTCTGTCGCTTTGGCTCCTCATTTGCGTCAAGGTCCATATCTTGGCGCAGCTGTTCCCAAAGTTCTGAATCGTTTATAAGTTTTCGGGGTTCTTCATTGGCACCCTCCGGTTGCCTCCGAACCCCAGGGCCTCCATCTTCCCTCTGGCAACTACTGCCTAGCGACGGCACTTGATCAACCAATTGCTGGCAAATGGCAATCCTGGCAGTCTGGCATTTTCGAGCGTGGGTACGGCGGATCCGTTCTCTGCGTCTTCGGCTGTCATATTTTTAAAAGGTCTCACTCCAACCCTCCATGGACATTTGGAAAGTTGCGGCGCAAGAAAAGTCCATCAACATAGTACGACCCTGTTACGCGAGAAGGGGTCGCAAAAGGCACGGTCTCGGAATGGATGCAAGGATTGGTTCTTCTCTCCGTTCCTCCTCCCCCCTACCCCCTCTCTGGACCGAGATTGGACAATTGATGGGGCGGAAGTCGTCTGAGTGAGTGTCAGTAAAAGTCCTCACTCCGTCGCGGCTCAAAGTGCCTGAGCTCCAACGCCGACTACAAGGAGGAGGAGGAGGAGGAGGAGGAGCAGGAGGAGGAGGAGGAGGGGAGGAAGAGGAGCAGCAGGAGGAGTCCCGCGCATCCCGCTGGCTCGCGCGGCTGCCTGGAGATGTGTCCCTTCCAGGTGTATGGATTTGCCCTTTCCAGGTGGCTGGAACGATCCGCAGCAGCAGCCGCCTGGAGCGGCCATCTGGCCAAATCCTTGCTCAGTTCCCCAGTTCCCCCGTTCTTTCCCCGAAGGAGCCCTGGTGTTCAGTGTCGTCAGAAAAAACCACGACGACGAGAAACAAACAAGATCAGACCTGTCATTATCCTGTGGTGTTTCTCAAACCAGACCGATCTGAGAGGATGCCCTGGGGACCGAAGCGGGGCGAAAACGCCGTCCCGCGACGCCTGACGAGCGCGAGGCGAAAGCCTCCGCGCTGTCGCCCATGTCCTTTGGCGGCGCGCCCGGAGGGAAAGGACGGACAGGCGGCCCTCGGAGGCGGGAAAGCATATTGGCAGCGCTCACGCCTCCTCCTCCTCCTCCTCCTCGTACTCCTCCTCCTCCATTACCCTCCTCCTCCTCCTCCATTACCCTCCTCCTCCATTATCCTCCTCCTCCGTTCTCCACCTCCGCCTCCTGAGCGAGGCTTCTGAAGAAGACACCTCAGAGGGCAGGCGGCTTCCACGAAGCCCCCCCGCCTTGTGAGAAGGCCAGCCCCCCACCCTTTCTCCCCTCTGCGCTGTCGCCCGCGTCCTGCAGCCCCAGGAGCGGCGGCGCGAAGGCGAACATCACGCAGGCCGCAGCAAAGGCCCGCCGAGCGGCTGCGCTGACGGTGCCGCGCGGGGCGCTCGCCTCCTCACAACCGACGACGCCGACGAGGGCGACGACGGCCACGACGACGCCGCCGACGGCCCCGACAGCCACGACGACGGCCGCGACGACGACGACGACGACGACAACGATCACGACGACGACACGACAACGACGACGACGACGAAGACGACGACGTCGCCGACGCCGACGCCGACGCCGACGACGATGCCGACGCCGACGCCGACGCCGGATGGTCACAACGGCCACGTCGGCCATGAAAACGACGATGCCGACAAACCGCGACGACGACCATGGCCACGTCGGCCATGACGAAAACAACAAGACGAAGTTGGCAGCGGCCACAACGACGACGGCGACGGCCAGATTAACATATTAACGACGACGACAAGCACGAGGACGCCGACGCCGACGCCGACGCCGACGCTGACGACGACGACGACGAGCACGAGCACGAGGACGCCGACGACGAGGATGGTCACGATGGCCACGTCGGCCATGACAACGACGATGTCGACAAATCCCGATGACGACCATGGCCACGTCGGCCATGACGAAAACAGCAAGACAAAGACGGCGGCGGCCATAACAGCGACGGCGACGGCCAGATTAACATATTAACGACGACGACGACGACGACGACGACAACGACGACGACGACACCGATAACAAGCACGAGGACGCCGACGCCGACGCCGACGTCGACGCCGACGCCGACGACGACGACGACGCCGACCCCGACGCCGAGGCCGAGGCCGACGCCGACGCAGACGACGACGACGACAACGACGGCGACGCCGAGGCAGACGCCGACGCCGACGACGACGGTGCCGACGCCGAGGCCGAGGCCGACGCCGACGCCGAAGACGACGACGAAAACGACGACGACGACGACGACGACGACGACGACGGCCCCGACGGCCACGATGACGGCGACGACGACGGCCCCGACGACGACGACGACGACGAGGATGGTCACGACGGCCACGTCGGTCATGACAACGACGATGCCGACAAACCACGCCGACGACCATGGCCACGTCGGCCATGATGACAGCCACAAGACGAAAACGGCGGCGGCCATAACGATGACGGCGACGGCCAGATTAACGACGACAGCGACGACGACGCCGACGACGGCAATGACAACGGCGACGACGGACGTGACAACGGCGACGACGGCCACGACGCAGAAGGACGTGGCTCTCGGACGGTTTCCACCTACAGGCCATGCCGGGAATGCGAGCACAACAGACTTCGGGGCTGATCTTCGAGGCCACATTGGCTCGCTGAAGTCCCCCGCGGTCTAGAACTCGAGACTCTCCAAAGGGACACCTGCCGAGATGGCAGCTTCTGTTGCCGCTTGCCTGGATTGCACGCCGATCCTGACCCTGCCAGTCCTGGGCCGAGGCTCGGAGCACGCGCACTCCCGGCCTGGCCAGAAGCTCCGACGTACGGATGCTGGGGAGGAGGAGGACGAGGAGGAGGAGGAGGAGGAGGAGCAGGAGCAGGAGCAGGAGCAGGAGCAGGAGGACGAGCAGGAGGAGGAGGAGGAGGAGGAGGAGGAGGAGGAGGAGCAGGTGGGTGGGCAGCTGGCGCCCCGCGTCCTCGGGCCCCTCCCGCGACAGGAGCACCGCCGAGAAGTGCAGCGCCGCCAGCGGAGCGTACACGGCGACGGCCCAGTCGCCACCGCCCCGAGCGGCCGCGCCGACGCCAGCAGCGACTGCGAGCCCGATGAGCAGGCTCTCCGGCTTCCCAGGGCTCGCGGCGCGCGCCGCGCTCGCTGCGAAGTGGCGGTGGTGGCAGAGCACCAGGGAGACACCAGCTGCAACGCTGAAGCCAGCGGCGTTGTTGGGCGGCGGCGTCAGGGCGACGCAAGTGTGAAAGGCGATGGCCGCAAAAACGCCAGCCCTCGGCGAGAGCCAGAGCATGGGCCCCACGCTGAGCTCCAGCAGAGCCACGCACAGCGGCTGCGCCCGCAGAAGCACTTGCATCCAAGCGTCGTCCACAAGGCCGACTGGAGCGAGCCGGACAATCAGCTGTGCGAAAAGGACAGGAGCGCACGAGCTCTCCGGGTCGAAAAAGTTATCCGTGAGTTTCCAGACACCCGCGGGGATATACAGTGCGAGGATTGCCGCTAAGTGGGCCAGGGGCGCCACGTACTCCATAGCCAGCTCGCACCGCACCTCTGAAACTGACAGCGTGTCCGACTTCTCAGCCAGCTCGCTCCCTGTCCGCACCCATGCGACGCAGGCACAGACAACAAAGGCGAGCTCGACGATCAAGGAGAAGAATTCGTACTCCCACATCCAGGGGAGCTTATACAGGTGCAAGCATATCGCGGAGACGTGCACCGCGATTGCTGACCCCAGCGACGGCCACGAAGCTGCGACCACCGCGAAGGGGACAACCACGAGGCCTGCCTCATGAATGCTTGCCAACTGGAATCCCCCATCAGACACAGCCGACAACAGCTTGTGCAGCAGAGTCGACTGCAAACACTGCTCGAGTGCGAATATCCTCACATATGTGCTGAAAGAGCTCATCCGAAAAAACGTCAACCTCCAGTGGGCCGTCCACCCGACCGATGGGCCAAGCAGCTCGAGCCAAACTGGCGGCCGAGGCGTGACGACGGCAATTGCGACAAAGATGGCGACGCAGGGCCGAGGCCGAGGCAAACCCTTCCCTGCTCGTCGTCCCCCGTGGCAACCAACGACCGGGAAGCATGCTCCCCAGCCAGTCTCAAACCTCTGCGCGGGCTTGACAGCAGCCTGGACGGCGGTCCCCTCGACTAGCCGCTGGTCCGAGACGGTCCCATGCAAAGAAACCCGAACCTGCGTCGAGCGGCAATTCGCGCGGACCCCAGTCAGTGATTCTGAGGATTAGGAAGGGGCAACTACGACGGCAAATAACCGGAACACATGCAAAGCCAGGCTGGGGGCTAGCGGTAAAGGCTGGCGGGGGCTAGTGGCAGGACTTGGTGGAGGTTTGTCCCAAGAACCAGACCTCCCTGTGAGCCCAGCTTGTGGCTATTAAGAGAAGCTATTGAGGGCGACTTGCAGGGGCTAGTTGGGCGGCAGTGACAGGTGCGGAGCCCCTGGCATACCAGGATCAGCGCTAGCGTCAGAGGCTAGTAAGAAAGGCTGGCGGAGACCTGTGGAGGGGTGCGGAGGGCTGCTCACAAGAAACGAGGGCCAAGCAAACCAGGGTCAGGCTAGCTTCAAGGGCAAGCGGCTAGCACGAAGAAGCTGAGGTCCCAATAAACCAGCGAGCTGGGCAGGGGCTGGTAGAGGTTAGCGGCAATGGCTACTGGAAGCTTGTCCGAATTTCGCCCCGCCAAGAGACCCGCACACACACACACACACTCTCAGATACGTCGCGCCGTAGGCTGCGCAATTGCGCCAGACGCACCACGTGCAACCAAGGCGGCCGTTGCCTCAGTGGGTGTGTCGTCAGTTGCGCCCTAAGTTGCGCTGGACACCTGGCGCACCACCAAATCGTCCATTGCCTCATTCGGTGTGCCTTCTGACGGCGCAACTGCAAAAATGAAGAGAAGCACTCCACAGTTTGCGCTGACATAACACACCGTAAGTGGCGACATTGGTTGCGCCATAAGCACATGGCGACATTGGTTGCGCCAGAACCCCCGCGGGCTTCCAAATCGCGATCCCCCTGGTGGAGGCCCTGGTCCGACCATGTTGCGCCAGACCCCCGCGGGCTATCAAATCTCGATGTCCCCCGTCCATTCTTCTTTCTAAAAACAGAATACACTCTACCCCCCCCCCCCGGCGGTATCGCACCCCCTTTCGGATATGAAAATCATATGTGATTCTGGCCACATTTCCATCCTAAATATGAAATCACAATGTCCCAGGCCAACCAGTATCGGCCCCCCTGAGGTCCCCTTGTAAAAAAACACTATGCGGTGACATTTTTGTTCTAACATAGCAGTTTTTCGCGAATCCGTTGCAAAAAATGGGACGATGTGCACACGCGCGCGTCGTCGCGCGCGCATGCCGAAATCCTTCAAAGACCTTCGGTGCCGGAAGGATTTCGCAATCGAGTTTCCAAACAAACATACAAAAGCACAGGGTTTCGCAACACTGCTTTGCTAAAAAAGCTTGAGCGCGAGCTCCTGCGAAATCTGAAGCAAACCATAGGTTTTCACGATTTTCACAAAATGCTACCAAACGGGCTTCGCGCGCGCATGTCGAAATCTGTCGAACGCCCTTGCGCGTGTGCCGTCGCGAGAATCCTCTGCAAAAAACGGGACGAAATGCAGACGCGCGCGTCGTCGCGCGCGTATGCCGAAATCCTTCAAAACACATCGGTTTCGGAAGGATTTCAAAATCGTGTGTCCAAAAAACATATAAAACACAAGGTTTCGCAACACGGATGTTCAACAAAAGCGTGCGCGCGCGCTCTTGCGTCGTCGTCGTCGTCGCCGTCCTCCCTCCTCCCGCGTCGTCGTCGTCGTCGTCGCCTACGTTGTCCTCTGTCTTTCCTCGTGTTCGTCGTCGTTGTCCTCTTTGGCGTAGTAGTCGTTTCCGTCGTCGTTGTCCCCGTGGTCGTCCTTCCTCCTCCTTCCTCGTCGTCGTCCCTCCAATTTCGTCGCCGTCGTCGTCGTCGTCGTTGTCGTCGTCGTCGTCTTCCCTCCTCCCTCGTCGTTGTCGTCGTCGGCGTCGCCGTCCTTCCTCCTTCGTCGTCGTTCGCGTCGTCGCCGTCCTTCCTCCTCCCTCGTCATTGTCGTCGTTGTCGTCGTTGTCGGCGTCGTCGTCCTGCCTCCTCCCTCGTCGTCGTCTTCGTCTTCGTTGGCGACGTCGTCGTCGTCGTCTTCGTCGTCGTCGTCGGCGTCGTCGTCAACGTCGTCGTCGTCAGCGTCGTCGTCGTTGTCATCGTCGTCGTCGGCGTCGTCGTCGTCGTCGTCGGTGTCGTCGTCGTCGTCGTCGTCGTCGTCTTCGTCGGCGTCGTCGTCGTCGGCGACGTCGTCGGCGTCATCGTCGTCGGCGTCGTCGGCGTCGTCGTCGTCGGTGTCGTCGTCGTCGTCGCCATCGTCGTCGTCGTCGGCGTCGGCGTCGTCGTCGTCGGTGTCGTCGTCGTCGTCGTCGTCGTCGAAGTCGTCGGAGTCGTCGTCAGCGTCGTCATAGTCGTCGTCGGCATCGTCGTAGTCGTCGTTGTTGTCGCTGTCGTCGTCGGCGTCGGTGCCAAGTGCCATTTGGTACCTACCGTCAAGGTCTTAAGAGGTCGTGCGACCAAGTTGCGGGTGGGAGGGTGGGATGTTTGCACGAGCAGTGGAGAGGACAGCTTCAAGGCAGTCAAAGTAGGTCTACACCCATAGGCTGCGCCACAGATTGCGCACAGGTACGGCGCGGTGATCGGCGCTAGAGCCCCCGCGGGCTACCAACTCGCGATTCCCCCAGTACGTCTGCATTGCAGCGGTCGCGCCACAGGTTGCGCATACATCCTCCACAAACCTTCTACTCCGCCAGCGATGTGACACAACAAGGGCGAGCGATTCAAAAAGGCGCGCGTGCAGGCCTGCGGCCAGGGCACGAACCCAACGAGCAGCCAGGAGTGCCAGGCAAGGCAAGCGAAGCGCAGCCCGCCAAAGCAGAGAAAGAGAGAGACAGAGAGGCGGTGCCGAGCCCAAAGTGGCGAGGTGCTTACGCGGGCAAGCCTGGGAGAGCGACCGCCCAAGGGAAGGGAAGCGCACCCCGGCGCGCAGCCGGCCGGCCGGCCGAGAAAGCGAGGCGAGAGGTCACTGCCCAGGCAGCGCTGGCAAAGCGACCACCACGCCGGGCAGCGAGCGCCACAAGACAGGCACCAAGGCTGGAGGGCACGAGCCCCGGCATCCCGGCAGGAGGGGCGGAGGGAGAGGGACGGAATGGGGGGGCGGAGGGAGAGGGCTCCAGCGCAGCGCGACAGAGCCGCCGAGGGCCTGCCAGGTGCGCGCCCCGTGACCCGCGGCACCGCCCGGCCTGCGCAGCGGCAGGAGAGATCGGATCGCAGCGACCGCCTCGGCCGACAGAACGACCCTGCAGCGGCACGCGGTGAGAATCTGGCACTCGGGCTTCGGGGTGCAGTGGAGACCCATGCCAAGAAACACCCTGCTTGCCTCCAGGGTGCCCTGGATTTCTTGGGTGTCGATGGCTTAGCGATGGAAAGCGCCACCTTCCCACACCAAAAAACCATGGACGTCCTGGGGTCTCAGGGTTGGGTTTCTTGTGGACTGGCCTCCGCTGTAGCATGAGCCGAAGGCGAGACAAGAGAGGGAGCGAAGGGAGAGCAGAGGCACGGAAGAGCAGTGCCCTGCCTGCAAGGTAAGCGCCGACTGCCGCCCCGACGAATGGCGGCACCGAGCCTTCCGCTTGACTTAGCTACTATTAGCTACTGTTAGGTCGAACATGCCCTCCTACAGGCGGATTTTGGATGAAAAACAAAGAATAGTCCAAAAATAAGCAACAACTATTCAAAAATAGTAGGAACATCGTCTCCAACCTATTTTTGACTATTCTTGAACGTTCCCCTGCAGGGGGACAGGCCCGACTGAAAGCCACTGTAGCAGAAGCAACTCCATTCGGCATGTTCGGGATAGCGGCCTTTACCGGCCCCGGCCGCCCCCCCCCTCCCCCCCCAACCACGGGCAACGTCAGGATTCGTGCGGACCTCCGACGGCACGCGCGGCACGCCAGGCGCAGCAGGCAGGGCACGCATGGCACACGCGCAGCACGCGCGGAGCAGCACTCGCTGCGCTGCAGCTGCCGCACGACATGACGCCAGGTGCCCAGCACCCGCGGCACTGCGCAGGCGCGACACGGCACGTGTGAGCCACATAGAGGAACTGCACAGCACGACACGCAAGGCATGACACGGCAGCACGCACACTCAACTGGCACGAAGGCCAACTTTCAGGTTGCCCCTGGTTGGGCGTAGCCCAAGGCGACGGTTCCGAGATCTAGGATGGCAGCCCCTCCCTTGGCATCCCCAAGCTTGGAGGTCACCCACTGGTCATGAGAAGTACTGGGTCACGGACGGTTCGTGGTATGACATGCATCTCATATCTCAGTCCCCAGGTCCGCCCCTCTCCCTCCTTCTCCGCCCCCGACTTCTCGAGCCATCTCGAGGATCAGGCCCTGCATGTGCGCAGGCCCACGCCGCCCCCCGCTCCCCGAATCACCAGGCGGGCTGCCCCTGGAAGTCCAGTGAGCCACCCCTCTGTGCCTGTCTCTTCCTGCACCTCGAGCAGCAGAAGGCCACCCGGGATCGGCTCGACAGCGACAGCGGGACAGAACACTCCTGCTGGGACGCGGCCAGCGCGACGGGCGCCTGAGCGAACCCTTGTAAAGCAAGTTGAGCGCCCTGGGCAGATCAGTGCATCCACTCGCCAGCTTCTCGTCATCATCATCATCATCATCATCATCATCAGCAGCAGCAGCAGCAGCATCATCAGCATCATCAGCATAATCAGCATCATCATCATCATCAGCAGCAGCAGCATCACCACCAGCCTCACCATCACCAGCAACAACAATAACAATAATTGACCATAACAACGACGAAACCATCATCTTCCCCACCATCATCATCATCGTCATCATCAGCAGCAGCATCATCATCATCCGCCACAGCATCGTCATCAGCAGCAGCATCAGCATCATCGACACCATCGTCAACGGCATCGTCATCATCATCGTCGCCATCGTCATCGTTACCATCGGCATCATCATCAGCAGCAGCATCAGCATCATGGGCCGCAGCATCATCACCATCATCAGCAGCATCATCATAACCAGCAGTATCATCAACAACAGCAGCATAAGCATCAACAGCATGGGCAGCATCAGCATCATCAACAATATCAGTATCAGTAGCATCGGCATCATAATCCTCATCATCAGCATCATCAGTACCATCACCATCCTCATCACCACCATCATCATCATCACCAACAATAACAACACTAACAGCATCATCAACATCAGCAGCAGCATCAACAGCATCAGCATCAGCAGCTTCATCCCCATCATCAGCATCATCAGCACCAAGAACAACACCAACAACATCATTAACACCAGCAGCAGCATCAACAGCATCAGCATCAGCACTTTCATCCTCAGCATCAGCATCAGCATCAACAGCATCAGCATCATCAGCAGCAGCCGTATCACCAGCAGCAGTGGCATCAGCGCCACCATCATCATCAGCAGCAGCATCATCAGCATCACCATCCATCATCATCGTCATCAGCATCATCTTCAGCAGCAGCATCATGAGCAGCAGCATCATCATCAGCAGCAGCATCGTCGTCGCCATCGTCATCATCATCTTCTTCTCACCCAATCATCATCCACGTACCATGTTCCCTCGCTCATGCCTCTCTCATCCTAACTCCTTCCCTCCCTCCCTCCCTGCCTCCCTCCTTCCCTCCTGCCTCCTCTCTCATCAATTGCCAACTGCCCCCCCTCCCTCCTCCGTCCTCCCTCTCTGCTCCTCTCTCCTCCCACCCCTTCCTCCGGCCCTCCATCCCTCCTCCCACCCTGATTCCTCCCTGCATCCCTGCTCCTCCTGCTCCACCTCCTCCTCCTCCTTCTCCTCCTCCTCCTTCCTCCTCCTCCCCCCTCCTCCTCCTCCTCCTCCTCCTCCTCCTCCTCCTCCTCCTCCTCCTCCTCCTCCTCCTCCTCCTGATTCAGAGGGAACGAAAGGGGGGCGCGGCCCTGGCCGCCTCCGCGAGGATGCCACTGGCGCTGTCGAAGCCGAGGTTGGTTTCCACCCAGGGCGGCACCTGCACCCAGCCGCTCAGGCTGTGGACCACCGCGTGCACGCCCGTCCTCACCTGAGCGCTGAAGACAGGTGGGGCGTGTCTGCTTTGGATGGGCACCCGCAGTTGAACGCCTGAGTCTCCGCCCAGTCGGCCCCCCTTTGCCCTCCGGCGTTGACATCGATTCTTGGGCCTGTCCTCACGTGCCCGTTTCTGTAAGAAAAACAATGAACAAAAGCAACACCGACCAACCAACTCCCACCCCTCAAAAAAACGAGAACGCGGACACTGTTCTCTGATCGGAAATAAAGCTTCCCTATTTCGGAGCTTCCACTGGTGCAACCGTTATCGCTGGGTTTCTATGCTGCCGCCTTCCTTACGCCAGCTTCCGATGGAGGGGAGAAATCAACAAACCCTCGAGTCTTCGAAGACGAGGCCAGTGTTGGAACACCCGACCCTGGTTGTCTACCATCAGACGTCGCGAAATATCAGCCAGCGTCGACTCCAAATACGAATATGCGGGACAGAGCCAATGTGCGGGCTCCGAAGCGGCAAGACAGAGCATAGACAGCAATGCACAGCATAGACCGCAAAACGTTAGATGTGTCAGGCCTCGTGATGGACCCACGATGGCCCCAAGATGACCCTGAGATGCTGCCAAGATTGCCCCGATCTGGCGCAGGATGGTCCAAGCTGGCCAAATGGGCACCAAGACGGCCTGAAAATTGCGGAGGCCCTTCACATGGCAAAACAGAGATTCAGCAGCACGTGGTTGTGCTGCTGGTAGCCTTCTCGCCTCTGCGGCCCCAGCGGGCTCCTCGGGCCCCGAGGTGGCCTCAAGAGGGCTAAGCCACCCACGGCTGGAAGCAACAAGAACATTAAGATGCCTCCCAGATGAGGTCCGAGTGGATGGGGTCGGAAGATCTCGCCGCATCGCCGATACAACGGCGATGCATCGCCGATGCATCGGCGATGCACCAGCGATGCGCTGGCGGCGTCGGCGATGCATCGGCGACATCGGCGTGAAGCGAATCGGGCTCCACATCGAGCCGCATCGGCGATGCATCGGCTTGGCGGCGCGATCATCCGATCCCAACTACTTCGACCCTATCTGGGAGGCCCAGAGCACTGCCCAGGGCAAGCTGTCGGAATGACCCTGGCACGACTGATCCGCGACGATCGGGCTGCTTGGGGCCGTGGCCCCAGTCTTGCCGAAGAACTCGGAGATCTTGGTTACCTCCCGGCGATCCCGAGGAGGCAGGACGGAGAGAAGGGAAGGGGAGGAGGAGGAGGAGGAGGAGGAGGAGGGGGGAAAGGGAGGAGGAGGAGGAGAAGAGGGAAAGGAGGAGGAGGAGGAGGAGGAGAGGAAGGAGAAGGAGAAGGAGGAGGAGAGGAAGGAGGAGGAGGAGGAGGAGGAGGAGGAGGAGAGGAGGAGGAGGGAGGAGGAGGAGGAGGAGAAGAGGAGGAGGAGGACGAAGAGGAGAGGAAGAGGAGGAGAAGGAGGAGGAGGAGGAGGGAAAGGGAGGAGGAGGAGGAGGATGGAGCGGAAGCGGAAGAGAGGAAGAGGAGAAGGAGGAGGAGGAGGAGGAGGAGGAGGGGAGGGAGAGGAGGGGGAGGGAGGAGGAGGAGGAGGAGGAGGAGAAGGAGGAGGAGGAGGAGGAGGGAGGAGGAGGAGGAGGAGGAGGAGGAGGAGGAGGAGGAGGAGGAGGAGGAGAGAGGAGAGGCAAAGTAGGTGCTCTCGCGCCGGGCCTCACATCCCGCCCTTCCTGCCCGTCCCGTCTCACTGCGCTGAAGCAAAGCATGCTCTGTTTGCCGAGCGGAGTGTCACGGAAGACCTGGACCCTCAAGTGGCAGCCTTAGGACTTCTTCACCCATCGTTGGCTGTGCAAGCCAGAGTCCGAGGCGGCGGCGACCAGGCAGCCGTCGCACACCAAAACGAATTTGGGCAGTGCATTGCTCGTGGTCGCGTTTACGTTGATCCTGTGGCGGTCGTCCATAAAGCTCCAGGTGTTTCTTTCTTTGGACTGGGTGGTGAGCAAGATGACCACGTCGGCTTCCTGGCTCTGCACGGAATCAATGGCGCACACTTTGACCAGGTCCTCGTCACGCCCTCAGCCCGCCGAAGTGCACGTCCAGGCCGTTGGCGCGTGAGCTGAGCTGATAGAGGGCTCCGCGGCCGTGGAGGCATCGCGCCCTCTGCCTTTGCCCTTGCTATTGCCCTTGCTTTTGCCCTTGCTCTTTCCCTTGCCCGCTGTCCTGCTGTGCAAGCGCGTGGCGCTGGAGGGCCACCCGCACTCCACGGGGACCTTCTGCGGCTCATATTACCAGGACTGTGGACTGCGTGCCCCGCACCCAGGGTTCGAGATTGGCGACACTCGGACAGTTCAACCGCCAGGGCAGCCTCGGGAACATTGGCGTAGCCGTTACCTCGCACGACGGGTCATCCGCCAGTAGGAAGCGTTGCTTGTCGCCCGGGAGGTTGCCAGACGACCCGCAGGAGGCGACAACCTAGCCAGGTTCCCTGCGCCGTGGCTGTCAGTGCAGGCGTGGATGGCGGCATCCATCTCCTCGCTGTCGAGAGAGAGAGAGAGAGAGCGGTTTCGCAGTCCTCTAGGAAAGTCCGTCCGCACACGCGGCCACTGCGGGATCTGAGCGTCTCGCACACCACGTGGCTGTCCTTGCACGTACACTGGAGGAACACGTCGTCCACTAGCATGGCCGGACCTTCGCTTGACATTTCAGCACACAGGCGCTTCCCGAGGGCAGGGAGCGGCGGTGATTCAGAGGAGGCGTCTTCGATTGAAAAACATGTTTTCAAATCCTGCGTGTGACTACAATACACGCGAGAGGCGGGAGGGAGCCCTGCAAGACATTATCAAAGGCGAGGGGTAGCACTCATATTAAGAGCCTGTACAGAAGTAGGAAAAGAACTAAGATGGAAGAGGCTGGAGTCGGCGGCGAGCGAGGGGGGGAAGTGAGAAGGAGAAGGCCTTCTCAGAAGGTTCGGAAGTCCCCCGGCCTTCTGAGAAGTTGTCTTAGCCTTCTCCGAAGACAAAACAACTTCTCAAAAAACGCGAGGGCTCCTGAGAAGTCCCGTTGCCTTCTGAGGGGGCCTTCTCCGTCTTACTTGCCCCCCTCGCTCGCCGCCGAGGGAGGCAGGGAGGAGGGAAGGGAGGGAGGAGAGACGAGGACTACGGGCAAAAACGTTTGCTTGGCGTGTCGCGGCGGCGGCCCCGGCGACACGCTATGACCTGCAAGCTGGTAGCGTGTCGCTCGAGGCTGGGAAAGCCCGGGCTGTTGACGCCTGGGTGCCCGACGTGATTACCGCGTCGCGCCGAAGCGCGGTAGGCCAGAACCGGCGGCGAGACACGCTAAGCAAAAGCTCCCGACGGCACCAGTGTACATAGGTGCACACATAAACATGCACACGCATGTATAGAGAGAGGAGAAGAGGAAGAAATGAAGAGAGAGGGCAGCACATATAGACATACGTACATACAGACATACGTACAAACATACGTACATACACACCTACCTACCTATATATATATATATACGTATACATATATACGATACCGGAGAAACAGCCCAATCATAATATGTTTAGGGCTGTAGGGCTATAGAGCTATATGGGCTATAGGGCTATAGGATAACAGAGCTACAGGGCTATAGGGCTATAGGGCTATAGGGCACCCCCCCGGGCACCTGGGCACCCGGGCGTGCAGCGAAAATCGACGACAAACCCAACCTAACCATATGAATCCGCTAGGACCCCTACAGAGGCACGCTCTGATTGGGGAACATACATACATACATACATACATACATACATGCATACATACATACATGGATACATCCATCCATCAACCCATACATACATGCATGCATGCATGCATACATGCACACAAACATACATCCATGCATATTTATTTACATATGTACATGCATACATATATACGTACATGCATGCATGCATGCATGCGTGCATGCATCCATGCATACAGTTGTACATACATACATGCATACATGTATGCATGCATACATACATGTATGTAACCATACATACATACGTACGTACATACGCACATACGTACGTACATATATACATACAAATACAAATGCAAATGCAAACGCACATGCAAATTCAATTACAAATACAAGTACCATTACATACATACATACCTATCTACATACATACATACACGCAGTCATGCGTACATGCAATTACACACCCAGGCATGCATACATACATGCAGACATGCATGTGTACATGCATACATACATACATATAGACATTCATACATCCATGCATGCATATGAATGCATGCATACATGCATAAACACATAATTACATACATCGAAGCATGCGTCTGTGTGTGCGTGCATGCATGCATGCATACACTTGCACTACAACGCATAGACATACACCTAAACATTCAAACATACAGACATACATGCACACATGCATACATGCCCACCTACCTGCCTACCGACCTACCTACCTACTGGCCTACCTACCTACATACATCATGCATGCATACATGTATACATACATTCGAACTGACAAACACACAACCAGACGATTAGCACTGCACTGCGCTGCACTGCACACTGCATTATACCTAACCACATACAACCCCCACTGCACCGTCGATTACCGCCCGTCGTTTCGTTAACTGCCACCGGCTCCCGATCGTCGGTCCGCCCACTCCCACCTCATCTCTCCTCATCTCTCCTCCTGCTCCTCCTCCTCATCATCATCATCCTCCTGGTCCTCCTTCTCCTCCTCCTCCTCATTCTCATCATCAGCCTCATCCTCATCCTCATCCTCCTGTTCCTCCTCCTCCTCGGCATCCTCTTCCCCCCCCTCCTTTTTCCCATCCGCACCTCTCCTCATCTCTATCCTCCTCCTCCTCCTCCTCCTCCTCCTCCCTCTCCTCGTCCCCTGCTCCTCTCTCCGCACCCACCTCATTCTCCTCATCCTCTCCTCCTTACCGTTTTCCTCCGTATCCTGTTCTCAGTCATCGTCCTAGCGATCCTCGTCGTCGTCCTCCGCACCCAGAGACGCGCAGTAGAAGCTGCATCAGAAGATGCAGTACCAAATGTAGAGGGAGCTGTACCACTGGCTGTGGCGGATTCCAAGTAAGACCTGAAGTAGTCGTTGCCGTGAGCGCAGCGCTAAGACTTGCAGTAAGAGCTGTGATGGGGGCTGTCGCACTGCCTGCAGTAAGAACTGCTGTACGACCTGGCACAGGAGATATAGTTGGAGCAAGTTTCAATGTGCGCCTTAGACGCAAAAACATCCGCTTGTTATGCAGATCATAGTGAGAGCTGAACAAGGACTTGAATCTGAGTTGCGCATCAAGCTGTAAAAGGAGCTGTAGCAAGAGTTGCAATGTTAGTTGTACTGGTGGCTGTGTGAAGGTGCTACAATTAAAGCTGTAGTAAGAACTGTAACGAAACGTACAACAGACGTTTAGTAGGAACTGCTGTGAAAGCTAGATTGCTGCAAAAGGCAAACATTAGGAGCTACAATTGGAGATCCATTGGCAGCAGAATAGTGATCTGCGCATGGATCCGCAAATTAAAATTGGGTCTAGCACTGAAACCTGTATGTATGATTACCATGTCGATCGCAATGAGGGCTGAACAATGACTTGCAATAGGGTCTGTGCAACAAGCTGTAGCAGGACCTGTAGCAAGAGTTGTACTGTGAGCAGTACTGGTGCTATGTGGAAAAGCTGCACTTCGAGCTGTAGCAAAATTGTAAACAATGAGGCGTTGCCGGGACTGTAGTGGGACCTGTATTGATTGCTACGCAGGATCAGCTGTTACCAGCTGCCGTAGGAGCTGCTATAGTGGCCTTTCTGTGAGCTGCAATGGGAAGCAAAAGTAAGAGCTGCGGTGGCAAGTGTGATGGTTGCTGCACTGGAAGATGCAACGGGAGCTGTACTGGATGCTGTGTCGAAAAGCTGAAATATGAACTAGTAGGGTCTCGGATGAGAGCTGCAACATTGGCTTCACTAGGAACTGCATGTGGAGCTGCGGTGACAAATGCGTTGAGACCTGCCTTGCGATCCGTACGATCGGTTGGGATGTCATGGTTCGCCGGAGATGTCGGAAGGTCCGTGCTGAAGCTCCTGTAGGATCAATACGGGTTGCGGGGATTTCAACAGGAGGTGCATGAAGACAGGCAGTCGGATGTGAAACATCAACTGTACTAGGGGTTGTAGCAGG